CCCCAAAACCCCAAAACCCCAAAACCCCAAAACCCCAACCTAAGTTTTATTTATTGAATATTACTTAATGTATTTGCTCCTATTTTGCTTTGATAATATCATGTTTTCAAAGTCACTTAGGGTCTTTTGTTGTAAGGTCTGGGTCTCTCTGAGACGCTCAATGATGTCTTGCTCTTTCTTCTCAAGGAACTTCATTTTGGATATATTTGCCTTAGCTCTCTTTTCGTCCTTTTTTATAATTTTGTCAACTCTCCTTTTATTTTCATTACATAGCTGATTATGATGCTCAATTTTGTTATTTGTATGACTATTATGTCCATTTTTGATCTGTCTAATTTTCGCTAGTTTGAGATTCATTTCTTCTCCTAGCCTCACATCTCGGTTATAAAACCCTCTATAGAGAGTCTGTTTAACCTGGAGACCTTCTTTGAGTTTATTTTCAATGCAATTCATTCTGATCTGCTTTTTCCTTTCATAGGAATCTCTTCGCTCTTGATTTAGCCTGTTTCGTTTTTCCTCAAGATCTCTATGAGTGCGATATCTGTAATCTTGCTTGATACTTTGGTCGACGTCATACTTAAATCTAGCCTCCATGAATTTATCAGCAAGTCTTTGGGTTGCCATTATTTTATTTCTGAGCCTTCGATTCTTCATGCTCAAGTCTATGAATCCGATTCTTTAGAAGATTTAGTTGGTAGTCCGTATGTTTCCTATTATGATATTTATTCAACTTCTCTCTGCCCAGCCTGTCCTTTTCAGGATTGATGCCTCCAGCCCTCCCGTGAGGGAGGGAGCGGGCATCTCTCCTCATGAAGGAGGAAGCCGTGCCTACCTCTGTTGAAGGAGATATATCATTTGAAAATACATTGGCAGATGATTCAATCACCGACCGTTGAGTTGCATTGCTATTCTTCAAAGGTGAATTATTCATCCTCTTTTGATGAAGCTTCAGGGATGGAAAATAAGATAGTGTACTGTTGAGTGAAGAGTTGGTAGGCGAGTGTTTCCCTTGCTTTTTAATAGCTGTTTTAATCCCAATATGAGTGTAAGTATGATCATTCTTAGGCCTTCTTTTGATTCTTTTAAGCTTTGTTCTGTTAGAAGCTGGAATTTGAGCCTGAGCTGATGGCATTGAGGTAGTCTGAGAGTTACGTCTTGAATTCGCCTCTGATGAAGGAGACTTGTAAGGAGGGCTTGTTGGGTTGGATTGTTGAGGAGTCTCAGAGACCTCTTTGTTACTCATTATAAATTTTATAAAAATTTATTTCAATATTGATTGATTACAAGGGGTTTTGGGGTTTTGGGGTTTTGGGGTTTTGGGG